ATTTTTTCTCATTCTCATTCTTATTTTTTTCTCTTTTTTCATTTCAACTACACATTCTATCAATAAAATAATACTACACATAAACCCAAAAATTCTCATTACTTTTTAACCACACATTCTTTCATCAATCACTATTTCAAATCAAATTCTTCTCAAAAATGGATGTCAAATAAGGGCCAAGTATGAGCTATCTGAAACAAGATTCATCATTAAGGAACCAACCCTCATACGAAATACGTTGTGTATAGGAAATTTTAAAATTCTCAAATTTGCGCAATTCGTAACATAATAACTGCGACTGCAATCGAGATTGACGAATAGAGTAGACACTAAAAGCCCACGAGTTCTTTGCTTAGACCAAGATCAGGATTTTAGAAAAGCAAAAAAGTAAGAAAACAAAATAAAACACATCTTTTTGGGCTAGATGGCAGGACAACTTGCAAAATGTGGAAAACAGGAAAAGAAATCGAAATCAGATTCAATGGTGCCTCAAGATGATTACTTGTCTCCCTGCACAAATGTTAAGGCTGTTTCAAAAATAATTCCATTATTAATTTCATTATACTGTGGCCTCCACATATACTTTTCAATCCATACCTTTGAAGAAACTTTATCAGAACTCCAGAATGCCTTGGCCACAGCGGGGGGCATCAGCTCAGAAACACCTTGGGCAGCTATAGCAGCCACTTTGGCCTTCGATGCTATGTTCTCTTCAGTATCATGATCTTGAAATCTCTTTGGGATATGCAACACAAAAGAACCCCTCTCCATATCCTTGATATTGGCTGGAACATGAACGAACTCATCCTTGTTAGGAGTATCTTCTTTATTATGTAAAACCCCACCAATAAAAAGCTTCATATCTAAATCTGTTTCGTCTTTCATTGTGTCACTATCTCCTTGAACAGCAGCCAGATCTGGCTGATTGTCATCCAAATCACTAGCTTCCTCTTCAGTATTCTCGCTGGTAATATTATTCTCATTTTCTTCTCCATAATCTGCTTCAAAGAATCACCATCTTCATTTATTTCTTCAGTAACATTAACCTTCATCACTTTAACCTTTAGGTTGGGAACTTTGTCTTTGAGAAAATTTATCACGCTTTTTATTCCTTCTTCAGCAGCTCCTTCCAAATCAATGCTCTTTCCCTCACCTTTTTTGGCTTCATTTTCTTCTAGCAAAGAATATTTTCAATGGACTGAAAGAATGGATGGCAGTCTACCCAAAGGCACAAAAGAAGGCTATAAGTAGACTTCTAAAAAGGAAATATCTCAGCCCATTACAGGACCTTTAGGAAAAGTGGGTATAAACTCAAAGCAAGCTCAATAATCATTGTGCAGCAATTATAGTACGTAAACAGCAGAACCAGTAGTTTCAACGCCCGGAAAACAGACCACTTTTATCCCACACCAGGGCTAATTAAAATCTCAACTTCAAGATAGAATAGAAACTAAGAGACTGTAGAACACATCATGGCATTAGTGTCTGGATAGACTTGTGGGCTGTGGCACATTTATTTTCCTACACAATCAGAAAATATAAACTCTCTTCCATTGATGAACTGAATATTGAGAAGCCAAACAGAGAGAAATAAAGAAGAGAAAAAAGAAACGCACTAAATACAATGTGTTAAAGAAAGTAGTGACCGATGACAGCAAAAGATCTTTGATTTATTTCTGGAATGAATGATTCAAACAAGTTTATGTTTGTAAAATTTATCCACTTTGTCGCCATTAGACAAATATAGAAAGGTAATTTTTTTGTGTCATGCATGGCCTAATACTATGTCAAGGTCCTTATATTAAGCCAAGTTTTCCCGTGTAAGTAATAAGGACAACATCTCATTGTGGTCCACTCCTGGAATCCAGATATTCAATCTCATGCATAAACTCCACAAAGATCATGCAAGATAATTTAAATGCATTGGTAGATGTCCAGATTTCTCCACATTTGCACTTGGAGATGTCCAGATTTCTCCACATTAGTTAACTAAATTATATATATTCCTCCTCAGAGATATAGTCTCCATTAGTAGGTAATGAAAAGATAGAAAGTAAGCTTGGTTTTGTCCATGTGCTGATTAGGTTTGATCAAGTTCTGGATAAAAATCATCAGGTTATAAAAATCAGAAACTGCCAATCATACAAGTCTTCAACAGAAAACATTTACAGCTTATCCAGATATCAATTTCTTAGATTCTGGAAAAAAAAAAGTTACAAAAGAAAACACTCTAACATCAGTTACATGTTACATACTTCTTTACAGATATAAATTATTTACAATTCTAACACACTTAAAAAAGAAACAGTTTAACATCACCTGCATGTTATATGCCTCGTTTGCATCCTTAACCATGAATATTTCAAAAGGCGGAGTTCCAGGAGATGAAGTGACCAACTGTCTGCAATCACCACCAATTACTAGTGTCTTTAAGTAGCTAATAACTTTATTAAGATCAAGAGCAGAAGACTC